TTTTTTTTGGTTTTCCCAAGGTTTTCGTGTTTTATCATCTGAGCTTACTTCTCATCTCAAGGCATCTGTTCTTTTTGCTTATATACATCTGAAACCGTCTGAGCTCAACACTTCCTTTGTCCTTGTCCAAATCTCCATATACAAGTCTGAGTGCATTAACTGCTGACTGGTATCAATGCGGTTGCCACTTGCATTTCCAAACAGCTTGACATGCAGTTGCGAGGACACTGTCCTTTACATGAAACGGTTGGAAATCTTTGCGAGCATACTTCTGTGCTTGTAGCTCAAGCGTTTACATCTTATTCTGGCGAACTTCTAATTTTAATTTTAATTCCTTTCTAATTCAACTCTCATCCAATTTCAATTAGGCTATAGTTATAGTTCAATACAAGTTTAGTTAAAATTCGGTTCTGATTCAGTTCTATCTTAGCTCTAACTCAAATCCAATTTAATTCTACCTAATTCTATTCTAGCTCTAGTCTATTTAGTTTAAGAGAACACATGCTACAAAACCCCGTGTTTTACAGTATTTTTTGCTGTGGAAGTGCTGGGAACAAGACTAAAACTCTTTTTTGGAGTAAATAGTTAGATTTATTTATTGTCAGTAATCATTGGAGATAATGTATACATATTAAACATGTTGTATGTACAAGCTTCTAATTCAAGAGCTTCCCTCTAGATCTCTGGGAATGATCATTTCTACAATAAAACTATATATAAGCTTTCATTTCAAAAGCTTTCCCCTGGATCTCTGGAAATGGTCATGTCAATTTAAACATGCTATATATCAATAAATAAGTCTTTCTTTCAAGAGCTTTCCTTTCATGAAAACACATATATACATATATATATATATATATGTGGGATATCTACTTTCCCAGAGGTCTTGAGGAAAGCTTTGAAAATGCAAGCTCTTGCCCGCAGAAATCTAGAAGAAAGCTTTTAACACACAAGGTTTCTATATAGTTGTTTAAATCTAAACATGATTATCTGCAGAGATCTATAGAGAATCTTTTACAACATAAAAGCGTCTATATACAATCTTTCCAAATCTAAATATAATTATAAGCAGAGATCTAGAGGACAATTGTTAAAATGACCACTTTTATGGCCTGCTTCTTTTCTAACTATCTTGTTCAAAACCATCTGAATGATTGATTGCTGCTTCCAAAACAATAAAATTACCCTGACTCAGGAATACATAATATATTTGTTCATATAGAGTGAGAGCAAGAATAGATATGTGTGTTTATATGGAGAGGGGCTGCCACTGAAGCATTTACCTAAAATTTGGGGAAAACCAAAACCCAGGCCCCATGACCACCCGCTCTCCTCTTTTAATAGGTTGATATGCCCGGAGAGCTTGAATCTACATGACATTCGCATTTAGCAGGTTGTCCGCGTGAAAGCACCAGTCGAGGATTGTAAGACTTCCACCAGTTCCAGCAATCTCTTTTGCTCAAACAAAGCTGGAACTTTTTGGTGAGGCCTTTTCAATGGCGTCGAATCCATTGAATGGCGTCCTTCTAAGGATCGCTGTGACGTCCTTGCTGGCATGGGCCCAGTGCTCAGCTCGCTGTCAAGCAGCTGTACTTGGCTGTCTCAGATCTGAAGACTGGGAGTCATCAACTGTCAATCCTTCTCACTGACAAATGGAGTTCCAAAACCCAAGACATGTTGGATTTTTGTTTGCTCTAGTTCCAGCGTGCCGGTACCATCTCCCAGGAGCGTGACAGTGTCCGAGATGAAGGTGGCTGGGAGGATGTGTCGCCTCGATTCATGGGCTTTGAAGTCTTGGGAAGCCTTTTTGTTGTTTGCCAAGGCACATACGCATTATATATAATATATGTATATATATATATATATACACATTTATAGTTGTTGCTGTTGTATACATACACATTTGTATACATGCACCATACCCTTCCCTTCTTTCCACCCGCTTGAGGGTAAAGAATTTTACCTGGAAGTCGCACATGGCCGAGCCTCCCGAAGAAGCCAAGCCGACATCCCAACTATCCCCAACTGGAAACGCCAATGACTGGTGAAAGTTGGAGAATGTGGATGTTCCACCCCGAGGGGAACTGGGACGTGGAGAGAGCCCCCGAAGTGACCATGACAGGAGCAGAATTGTAAAGCTTGGCTACTTGACACGTGTAGCAACACGAGGTGACATTGTTCTGCAAGCAGCTTGTCAACTGTGGAGCTACATTTCATTGCATTTTGTTACATTAGGAATTGCTGTTTCCCCCATCCGTAGGAATCAGTGTATTTATCTCAAGCACAGCATCTGGAATGACTCTCCAATCTCCCGTCTACCAGCGGGTACGCCGGGTACGCCAGGAGTATGAAACACAATTGGTGCTCTAGATGTTATGATGTGATGATATGACCCTGCGCCTGAGCCACGGTGCTCCAGGTGTGATGCATCTTCGAAAGGCCTGGCTCACCTGGAAAGGTTCTTGTGAAGACTGGAAGATCACCCAGGATTGCTGGGGCCAGAATCTTCACCAACTAAGTAGTACTTAAACTTACTGTAAACCAAGAACAGAGGGAAAAGGTTGCACAGGGAATCACAGGCGGTCTGACAACAGCTTCAATGATTTCCACCACGAAGAAACGCACCCTGGTTGTCCCGACGGGTGATATGGCAGGCCCACAGCTACCTGGAGCAGCAGTTGGCGTTGGTGCGACCAACTGCAGGGTTTGGCACGGGGACGGATTGGGCATGGTGGTCGGTCTTGTTGCGGAGAATGACATTGTTCAGCTGAATTCAACAGTACTCCTCATGTCAGCTCGTCCGGCAGCCATTTTGTTCAGTGGAATTGGCACGTCGAAGCCACAATTCCAAACAGAGGAACCTGCAAGGCAGTGCAAACAGTGGCATGTCATAGAGTTGCATTTTAGTTTCAATTAGTTTCAATTAGATTCATTCGACTTCCAGAGTCTTAGATGTTTATTAAAGTAAAGTTTGGCTGAACAGGCTGAACACATTTTTTGGGGAACTGCAGGGAAGCTGTAAGGAACCTGTAGTGAGTCACTACTCGAAGGGACACCTCAAGCCTTTCATGACAGCGAAGGGACACCTGCATGAATTCGGCACCAAGCTGCCCCCCTTTGAGTCTGAAAGTGGAGGTGCGATCGATCTTTGAGTCACGATGCGATTGATACCTTTTTGAGAGTTGAGACGTTTCCCTAACCTGGAGCCAGAGATGTTTCTCACGGTCTTAGTAAATCATTCTACAGTACATGTTGTGTTTTGTCTGAGACTGACGAGGATCTTGATCAGAACGACAGCAGTGATCCGTGCTGCTTGGCATTTTCCCACTCATCCTGGTTCACTTGCATTTGATGTCAGCACATGTCAACACATGTCACTCACTTTTCGAGCCTGAAGGTTCACCAGCAAAGCTGAGTGCACAATACGGAGTGGTGGTCCAGACCGCTGCGCAATCGCTGCGACATGTGTGGCGGACCGCTTCACGCCATCACGCGCCACGGAGATACCGGGCATATGCAAGGCTCCTGTCCAGCATGCTTGAGATTGAGTGCATTGCGGTGCTTTGGGATGCAAGAAAAGAGCAAGCATCGTTCCCCAACACAAAGTGAAGGGTTCGGCCACTGGCAACCAGCTGGTTTGGCAACCGGTACCAAGGTCTTCAGTGGCTGCTTTCCAGGTGGTTGGCATCAAGAAACCGAGAGCTCCGGGCGTGCCTGTGGCTTTTTCCGCGCTGAAGTCAATGCCGTACTGGAGCTGGACCACGAAACTGAAGCTGACAGTGCCTACAAACAGCCCATTGTCCAAGTTGGGTACGAACAGCTGAGTGATCACCGTCCGAGCGATCTGCAGACTGCACGAACAGCTGGGGCGGTACTAGCAGATCGTAGCTCCAATTCCCAGAAGTGACGGGCGCCCGACTAGCTACTAGGAGCAAGGATGCTACTAGGGTCTCCTGGCCTTACTACTAGGAGCAAGAAGCTACTAGGAGCTTTTTCGCATTTTTGAGTCTCCTTGGCTTTCGCTACTTTCCCGCATTCTAAGGTTGGGCCTTCCAAGCGTTGATGTGGAGAAGCTGGCCAGACACCCCTGCTACACAGCAAGTCCACAGGTGCGATCCATCGACATCATGGAGCATCTGACCTTGAGGCCTCACATGGACTGCGAAAACAGCTGTGTGCTGGCGTTTGCGCCAAGATGCCGAGGCAAATGAGAATGAATTCATTTGTTGAACCCCAAACCATCCACTGATTTATCATGATTTATCAGAGGTAGTAGTTGAGGATACCTCACCTAGTACCTTACTTATATAGAAGCTGGAAAGATAGATCCGAGTTTGATCATTTCAAGCCACATGGTTGACCATGTCGCCCCTTTCATCATCAGATTCTCCAGGAGCATGGCTGTGGCCCTTGGTAGCAATATGTTCCAGGGTACCGACAGCCAAGTGGTGCCTTTGTGGGTGCCGGCCTTTGGCGCGCATCCAGCTCACAGTCCTAGCTGTGACTTGGTTTAATGCTCTTTTTCATTTCTTAGGAGTGTTCTTTTCAATGAGATGCTGCTTGAACCGGAAATGCTGCTTAAAACAGACGTGGAAGGTGATGACTCTGAACTTCTTTGGTGGTACAACGCGCCTGCCCTGCCTCGACTACCGAGTCTTTTGCAGAAAGGTGCAAGATCCAAAGCATTCCAAAGCATTGTTTAACTCACATTTTATCTTTTGGGTTGTTCGAGTGAAGTATATTTATTGAATTTCTGAATCATTTTGAAGTTGTACGATGATTCTGCAGGCTGGGCTATAAACCTTGGTGCTGGCGACGGGTCTTGTGGCTACGTCACCTGACAGCATTTCTGAAAGCAACTTCTGGATCAACTGTTCTTTGACTGAGGACCTGGCGCGTGAGGATGGCCGTGACAAGGACCTTTACAAGGCTTATGGCGGCGGTGAAAAGCCAAGTCATGCTTTTCGATGGTGGCAGTGATGGTAGGCGGATGATCCTGCCAATTGCCTCCTTCAAGAAGGATTTGCCGGAATTATGTTTGAGGGCCCGGCCCTGAGTTCTCCGAAGGGCTCAGTTCTGTCCAACACGGCTCGGCTTTTGATGCTTAAGTAGCACTCAGCTGCTACTTACTACATGCTACTTGTTGCGGGTTTCCCATTCTTTGGGACATGCCCATTGGTTAAATTGGTTGCATACTTGTAAAATCCCGAATGCCGAGTCGGTGCAGTGATGCTGGTGAGGTGCGGAAACGAAACTTGCCAAATTGAAAGAGGCAGGAGAATCGTGGTTCGCCTGTGACCGTTTAGACAGAAACCGATGATCACAACAACACATTGTTTGAACTCAGAGCATGCTTTCCAGGGACAGCAAGTATTGTGTACTTGTTTGGAAGGAGTTTGAGAGAAGACCTGACGTTGTTCTAGTGCTCGGGCATACAGATCCTGATGAGGCGCAGCGGTGTTCTTGTGAGATTTGTGTGAGCTAACCTCAAGATGGAGTTCCCGTCCCCCAGAAATGTAAGATTTCGATCTTAGCAACGCCATAAGCAGGAGTTCCAACACGTTACGTATGCAAATCACTTGCAATCATTCGTATTTGTTTTGTGTGCAGTGAAGATTGCAGGTTGTTGCGCATGTTGCAGCCTTTCGTCACAGTTGACAGCTTATCCCTTCAGCTGCGGGATATTTTTCAGATCAGCAAACAGCCAGACACGGACAATTCAGAATTCGTTTTCTGCTGCTTTTGTTCCCTGTGAGATCAAGGACTCCCACCGGTAGAAGCAGAGCTGTTGAAGGCTGGGAGCCTTACTTAGTTTTGAAGGATGCCCAGCTGCACGTATACCGTTTATTGAACTGATGTCCAATTACGGTCCTTCAGTGGCCGCCTTTGCTTTTGGCGCGACTGCTGTGACATCCGACTCTGCCAATCGGCTTATCCAATGAAGCATAAACCTGGAAGCCTACTTGGCATTTCTGTGGCAAGCTGACAAACTGGGTGTGAAATGAATGAAAAACAGCTGCAACACGGTCAGGTGGACTTCGACAACTGCGACTGTTGCTTTGTGGAAGCCTTGCTCCAGAGTGGAATTCGTCCGCGACACTTGCATGTGGAGGCCATGGATTATTGTGAAGAGTTGTGGAAGGGATACGCAAATTGAAATGCTCATGAATTTGCTTGTTGCCTGCGATATACATCAGTGCTGCAAAGCAGGTGAGTTGCTTCATTCCTCCACCCTTGGTCTTTCGACCGACTTCCTTTGATGAATCCATAGGACAGCTGAACTTTGCTGAAAGTTTAGTTTCAGACTGAGATGTACCGCAGTGTCATGTACTGTTCCATGATGACGCAAGATGTCATGACTTGCAACCGGGCTTAGTGGCCGAAGCCTTTGCGTAAAAGATCGTAGATGGTGCCACGATCGTTTTCGTGTTTTCTTTCAGTTGGTGTTGTTGATTTGATCATGGCTGTTCTTTTGCGGCTCAAGGTGCGGGAAAAGAAACTTGTTGGCTGTGTCCGTGTGTTTCGGTGATCTATTGTGCACGCGGCTTTGCATGGCACTTTCACACCCAAAGCTGGTTTTGGACCAAGAGGGCAACCTCCTTGAGCTGAAAAGCAAGACGGGGGGGGCTCCTTTCAGCTGATGAGATCGCAGATTGTGTCAAGTTCCGACGTCTCCGAGGAGGGGAGGTGGACGGAGAGTTGACCTGTACCTCGGAGAAATACGACGGCCAAACTAATGGAATGAAGGTCAATGTCATTGGAGGTGCCACCGGAGCTGGCAAGACTTCATTGATCCAAATCTTAGCAGGAGGCATGCAAACGGAAGCAAAGAACCACTCTGACACGAAGTGCCCTACCATCTACGTACTCGAACTTGACATTGGCCCTGTTGCCTTCCTTGACACGGCTGGTCTTTGTGACACAGATGCTGAAGCAAACAAGAACCCCCAAGTGCAGGATTTGCTTGTGCAAGCTGTGGCTGCCACGATCCAAAAGTACAATCTTGTGGTGGTGAACTTCTTGATGTGTGTTGACTCCACGGGCCGCCTGCCTGGAAACTTTTGTGAGGTGTGGCCACAGATGCAGGTGTCCCTGGGTGGTGAAAAACTCAACGATTTTTGCCACTTTGTGATGACAAAGGCAAACGCGGATAGTAGGGCAGCTAAACAACAGCTCAGCAAATTGAAAACTTCACCGGCCTTCCTGAGCCTTCAGCACTCAGCATTGGGATGGCCAGTTGTTTCAGCAGGTCATGAGAACCTGGATGAGTTCCAGCGCATTCTGAAGAAGATGTGGGAAGAGATTGAAGGCCTTGATGCAGGAGCTGTGCGGGCAGATGTGGAAGGTTTGCAGGTGAAGCGGCAGAAGGCTGACCAAGTGCAACGAGAGTTGCAAAACTTCAAAGATCGGATGAATGTGGAGAAAATGAAGGCGAATACAATGCTGGAAATGTCAGATAGACTTCAGGATAGCATTGACAGCGCCTACGACGAACTTGCGAGCCTGGGCGATTGCACCAAAGCCCGAAAAGATGCATTGAAAAAAACGATTCATGAGTTCAGGGAGCGACAAAAGAAGATGAGAGAGGATTTTGACAAAGGCAAGGTCACGGAGAGGGAACTAGAGGAAATGATTGAACAGTGGCAACAGGATCTTGACAAGGAGCTGGATGCTATCCGTGAAATGGAAAAATTGGGCAACCCTTTCCAATCCCTGGCCAGGGCGGCCAGGGCGGCCAGCAAGCTCATCATGGAAGCGGCGGCGAGCAAACTATGAGGCAAAAGCAGGCGCCACACTTTCCCGCTTTCAGTTGCCTTTCATTGCTGGCAATGTGCCTTCCCTGCAGTTCTGAGATAGCATTTTGCTGAGGCCGCTGCGCCAGGTTGTGCAGTTTATTTGGCATGCTGGGCACATTTTTCCTTAGATGTTTGACAGTGAAGTTCACTTCCGATGCTGTTCAGAGTCTTGAAGGCATTCTTGAAGAACCATTTGCAGAGAGTGAGACAGCAACAAGACTCCTGTTTCCAATGCGAGAGTCTTCTTGCGACTGAGTGAACAGCTTGATGTGCATAAAGAGCCCAATCTGCAAAAATGTGTGCGCCAATGATTTTAAAGGCAGCACCATTGTGATGGACATTCAATTTGCTCTGAGATGACATCGGCGCAGTGCAGTGTTCTGTTAAAGCAGTGCAGCCTTCAGTCCACCTGACGTAGTCTCTCGACGCACCTCAGTTCCAAACGCATCATGGAAGATTCGTTGCATGCTTGCACTCAAGCCATTGAACTCTTGCTGGTTAAAAGTCCAACAGTTGTTGTTTGGATGGGGACATGACGTGATCAGACACGGTGGGCGATTATACAACATGTTTGGTAACTATATGTGAAGTAACTACGATTGTTATGTGTGGCCACAGAATACACTGGCACTAGATGAAGTACGAGAAAAGTCCAAGTTTAAAGCAGAAAACCTATTTAAATCATTTTAGATCTATTTGTTAATTTCAGAAAGCCGAGGTAGAGCAAACGTATGGCCTATCTTAATTACAGGTGGATGACTAGGTCAATCCAATCACACAATCCGGCCACGCAAACGTCTAGATATTTATATATATATATAATATACATATAGTTATTCTTTTGTGGATGTGTTTTGTTATTAGTAAACATGAGTAAGTAGTAACCAAATATCAGTAAATTGTTTTCATCCCTGGACATTTTTGTACTATATCGTGCTCTTGTTTTCTTGCTTGTTTGCCTGTTTGCAGGAGACTCAATGTTGGAACTCGGTGTGGAGTATGGACTCAGAGGACACATGATGCACTGCCTGTTCCTCAGATGTTTGGTTGGCAGTACAGGCCTTCGGAGCTCTGATGATGTTTCCAGGTTCTTTGTCGGCGTATGCCGAACTCTTGGAACCCTTCGGGTACAAGCTGGTTTTAACCTCAAATGCTGAGACTCGTGAATATTTGAACACGGATCTGCGAGCGCTGTGAGGTTGTGAGTGTAAGGGGTTCCTGGTGGGAAGACGACGTAGGTGTGATATGAGATATTCATGGGCTTTCTGGGCAACATACACACCATGATTCATGGGTGGCAGAAGCAGCTGATTGCGGCAGAAGCTCAGATACATCATCATCAGAGGGCTCGTGTTGAGCTTGCAACTCGTAAGGTGCGGCTCTTCTTGCATGATGCCCTCTTCGCTCGGCATGAAATGATCTCCGACCAAGATGCGACCCTTTGGCGAGAGATCCGAGGCGGGCCGGAAGAGTCACAGTCACCCATCTACCCATTCCGGATATTAAAGGCTTTGGGGACATGGTGGAGGAGCATTTTTGCTTTGTCCTACCTTGTCCTAACGCAAAATGTATGGGTTGTCCGTGGTTTTCCATAATATTGAACAATACATAGTAATAAATGCTCAGACTGAATTTATCATGTTCTAGTCTACGATGTTATTCCGGAGATGAGGTGGCTCTCAAACCAAGATTTCACCAACTTATACAAATGCAGTGAAACGAAGCAACGTAACCTGACTGTGGGTATTGGTGTTAAGGCTTCATGCACAAAAGGACATAGGACTAGGAGATGTCTCTTTAGTTTCCGATGTACTTGAAAAAAGAAGAACGTTACTCTGACCTTCTGCCAAATAAACCACAGTTTTAACCTTGAGACTTGGCTCGAGTCTTGCCAGATCTGGAAGCAGCCTGGTCGTGGCCTTGGTGATCTTCGTGTGGTACCTGCAAGTTTCAGCGAGTTGCAATGGCTTTCCAAGTTCCAACATCATCGAGGCAAGACCTCAGAAGCTGTAGGAAAAGCCACAGCGTTTCAGCAGCAGACTGATCGCCTGAATGTATCATTTGGCTCCACACATTCCCAGACTGATCATGTGGGATCGAACAGATCTCGCCCCCAGGTTGTGAAGACGTTTTGATATCAAAGAGGGAAGTATCGGGGATCTTATGATTCCTATTGCTATTATATAGGTTGTATTGCTTGTATTGGAAGAATTCAAGCGGCCTTGATGCTCCCAGCAGACCAGCTCCTGGCACGACGATTCCGCGCCCTGCGATGTCCAGATTCCGTGCCCGCCCATCCTGCTCGGCCAGCTGCAACAACAGGTGTCCGGAGCTGCACATACAAAGATAGCGTCCTTGCTCCTAGTAGCGATGCCAGGAGCCCCTAGTAGCGTCCTTGCTCCTAGTAGCAATGCATCTTGTTGTTGAGAAAGTCACATTCCGTGAACAACAATGGCCGGCCAAGTTTATCATGGTGTATCATGTGTATCCTTGATCAGCGTGTTTAAATGTTTCGGTGCGTTCGGCAACTCAGGTATTGTCGAAACAAGGAACAGGTTAATGACTACTAGGAACAAGTGCATCGCTTCTAGTAACAAGTGCCTTACTAGTAGTAACAAGGACGCTACTAGGGGCTCCTGGCCTTACTACTAGGAGCAATGTTCGCTACTACTAACAAAGGGCATTACTTGGTCTTCATTTGGCTGAGTTGCGTGGCTCACATCGGTGCATTGAGCATGGGCATGCACTCTATCTTGATGGGCCTGAGATGCGCACAACAGCTGCACTGCGTGCGCATAGCTGGCCCTCAGAGATGTTGCACATTCCAACAAGCAAGCCAGACTGCAATGCAATGTGGGAAAAAGTCAAACGAGATCTTCCCCAAGTCTTGACAACACCAACGGGTCAGTGCTGGCTGTACGGCACTTCTTCGCAAGCTTGCTCAGAGCGAGTGGGTCACACTTTTCGCCCTTCAGGGGGCGCGGGGGCCCTTTTCTCTGGTATACTTGGACTGAATGTGGAGTCACAAGCTGAAGACTAAAAAATTCTCATCTCCAAGCGGCTGACTCGAGCCGTGCACCCCACGTTCTCAGGATCGCCATATTCATGCAGAAAGGAAAAACACGGTCTGCATAGAAGGTGAAGATTGATGTTCCCGGAGTTTTTGTCTGGACTCGCCAAGGTGGCTGTAGAGGTGCAACAGGCATGCCGTGCACCCATGTTCGGGGCCCGGCTTCTGTCAAGACTATTGAAGTGCTACAGTATGTCTACAAGGGAAAGAAGACTCAGATGCGGGTAGCGATCTTTGGCATCATGACGGATTTGTCTGGATCCACATTCAGTCAAATCATGACACAGGATTTTCGCTCTTTGCATCTTTCCACTTTTGCGCGCATCCCGTAGCGGCCAGTGCCATTGGAGAGATTGAACAACAAGCCACCGCAAGCAAGTGGGCGATTCTCCCATTAGTCGAGATCGACGTCGCCTTTTGAATTTGAGGCCTCAATTCATGAAATTAGGGAGCTGCTTGGCGAATTTCACGCATAGAGGCCTCATCCTTCGTGAAGCACACCTAAAATCCAAAAGCACGGAGTTCCAGGGTGGATAGACATGCTTGCAAAACAGGAGCTTGTCAACGGGAGCTTTGCGGTGGGAGGTATTGCTGACAACTGACTGGCACACGAGCGGGAAGAGCAGCGCAAATGGGACTACTTGGAAGCCATGTATGGGGAAGGGGCAGATGATGTCCCTTTCATTCACAGAGCTGACATGGAGGCATTTTTTGAGTACACTGGTGGCTCAGCGACATCGAGGTAGTCCATGCGGCATTTGCCAGCGGCGAAAAGTATGCAGACTGCCTTTGATGCAACTTCGGAGTCCTGGATTCGGGGATGATAGCAATCATAATAAGACTATTCAGACTCTTTTTGCCTCATGAAGGAAACAAAACGGTCTTGCTGGAAGCCGCAGAGCGCATGTTTTTTGGTAATGGCAGAAGCAGCTGCATTTCCTTGCTAGAATAAAGGTGTTCTTTGCATTGGATGAGCCAAAGCCACAGGGCAATTGATTATATACAACTTTCACATGCCGTCAGTCGCTTTTCCTAATTTTGGACACTCAATTTGTCACACTACCCAACTACTCACTCCAGGTGGGGTCTGCATTTCATCATCCAATGGATCCAAGGTTTGGCTGCTTTTTTTGCCATCCACTGCGATCGGCCTTAACCATGGAGATGGAGTACGTATCGCACCCTGGCGATGTTTTCAGAGCGCTTTTCAATCGCCTTTTTTGCAGTCATAGCCGACTGGGCGCCTGATGTAGACGGCCGACCGTCAGACGGACGACAGGACCTTTCTGTACGACTATCGGGTGTGGAATGATCGAGAGGTTCCTCCATGGAGGCGCCTGGTCCTTAGCTTCGGATCATTTGAAGGGCCTGAAAGGCCTCCTTCGGCCTCCTGGGGTTGGAAGGGGCCAAGCTCTTGGTAATCCAGGTCTCCAGCTCCTGCAGGATTACTTGGACCGGTGGCAAAAGCCAAGAAGCAGCTATGTGCTCCAACTGGCAGGAAAAAGACTCCAAAGATCGCATCAGGTCTTGCGAACATCACGGTTGAATCCATGAAAAGGTTCCTTTTCTCTTTGTTTCTTGCCAACCACCACGCGAAGAGGTTCTGATGTTGACGGTCTTTCAGAGATCCACGCAGGGGACGCTGGCAAAAGCTGTCAAGATCGAGGAGCGGTTGCAAGACGCAATCGACAGCCAGAGCCCGAGTTTCCAACATGCTTATGGCCACTAGACCACTAGAGCGGGTCTCAATACAAGATGCAGACACTTGATGTTCCGTTCATTTGTTCACTTATTTTTGCTTTGTACTGCGGCACCAGTGATAAGTAAGACTTTTATACACTTGATCAATGACTGTCATACTTCCAAACAATTAGTGCCGGTTGGATTACTGCTTCAGGCATGCCAAGACGGCAATGTTCACAGATGCCTTTGCTCTGCCACCTTGCCCTTTCGGTCACCTATATACTCTAAGTTAAGCACCCCTTCTCAAAGTTTTTTTGTGACACACACGTTTCACTATCAGCTCATCAGCTCCAGCTTGATCGCCACGCTTGGTGGCCTCGCAGGCTTGGGAGCCCTCATTGGAGCGATTGATGGCGTGGCGCCCTCTCTGAAAGCTTTAAGCAAGGGTCGAGAGGCGCTGCGCTCCGGCGCAATTCTGGTCGTGGTTCTCGCGGTTCATTGCGGTTCTAGGGGCACAAAGACCCTTCCCAACCAACAGCGGGAAGCAGTTCACATGTTCCTTCCTTCTTCACGTTCAGAGGGGTGAGAAGCTATCTCAACAGCTGTTCATAGCGGGGGGAAATCTGGTTGTTCATCTATATCACTCTCAGTTCTGGCTGTGAATGGTGGCTGCTCAACGCTCTTCAAGACCTCTGCGATGTGTTCATGTTGGATCGTTGAAGAAGGGAGCTTTGCATAGCTTTGAGCCGTTTTTTTGATATTTTTGAGGGGCTAATCAGTGTTTTCACCGTAGGTTGTCCATGCTTGGAGAATCAACAGAAGTCCGTTTCATGAAGTCGGGTCCTTGAACGCATTTTCTAGATTCTATTTATTGTTTCTACTAGCTTCTTGTTACTACTAGTAAGGCACTTGTTACCAGTAGCGATGCACTTGTTCCTAGTAGCTTCTTGTTAAGCCAGAGTGTTTCTAAGAGTCCACCATTTTCACTAATCGTCGACAACGCAACTTGCTCGCAGGGAATCTTCTCAAAGCTTAGTGGCATAGGACAGACGGGCGACGATAGGCTTCAGGGCTCCGTTCCATTGGTCCAAGGACATGTTGACTTGCTTTGGGTCGAGCGGAGCGGGGCGAATCTGAAAAGCGCTATGATTTGCTGAGGATGTTCTTGGATGGTTTTTGCCAGGACGAGCAGCGCTTGCGGATGCCGTTGCCTTTTCTTGGTCTTATGTGCAGTCCTTGTTCTTTCAATCACATCTGGGCTGAGCCTTAGGGTACCGCAGTGAGGGGAAATCTCCATGGACAACGCCTGAGGCCATGCCTGGCTTGAAGCCATCCCTGGCGGCTGTTCACTTTGACCAATGGTTCCGAGGCACGCGGGTTTTGGGTGCCTTGGGAGGCATGCCCCATCAGTGGCTTGCCCCGTCAGAGAAGCCATGTCAAATGCTTTTGAGACTTCAGGTGATGCTTTTGACCAGCGCCGAAATGAGTGAAACCGCCATGTAGAACGGGCTCCATGGTGATTGAATTCCTTGAAAACAGCCCCCCCACTCTGCTGTTGACCCTGCGAATGAGCTGAAAAACGTCGTGGCCTCAGGCTTGGAAAATACCCAGGACTTTGTGGAATCAGTGGTCAGCAACAGCCTTCAGGTGGCCAAGCCAGGTCTCATGAGTTGCAGTCGATGTGTACGAGTGAGATACTCGTGTGGTTTCTGGCGCTCGCTTCACCTGGTAGGATGCTCCCAGCTCTCATGTAGGGTTGTTGGAGCTTGTGAAGGGTTTATAAACGAAAGCAGGCAAGTTTGGTCCAAAAACAAGATGATCAAGATGTTACATTGTAGGATTTGTAAGGGTGAGAAGTATGCAGCACCCATTTTATTCTTGGTTGTCAAGTTGTCCACCCACAACCGCTACAGCCACTACATTTTACCATGACTGTGATGCCTCCCGGTTTTTGTCACGTTGGATTTTGCAGGATCTTCGCAAAGCAGGAATAGATTTTCATGATGGATGTCCAAAAGGTCAAGGGCTTTTCAAACTAACGCAGTGCTCCTGACAAGCCACAGGGAGAGAGATGAGCATTCCAGTGTTTCATATATCATATGCACATATATACAACTATATACTAATATACATAATGTATATATATACAGGTCTGTAGCAGTTCGTATCTACTCCCTGAAGCCACCCTGGTTTTGGACGCGGTCGGTTTCTATTTTACCTCAGGCCCTTCTGTCCTTCCTCACGTCATCTTCGGTGAAGATCCCACAGGTCTCCGCACGCACGATCTGCAGGATCTGATGGGAAACGTGCGCCTGAAGGTGGAGCGAACCTTCGGAGATCAACCGTGGGGAACGACTGGGACGCGAACCATGCGCTGTTTCGCCATGTGGAAAACCGGCGGCGAACCTTGTTCAAGCAGAAATTCAGCAGAATACATCTTGGGTGCCGTCATTTTGGACAACTCGTGTCCGGACACTTTGCAGCCTCCTTTTCCCTACATCAATCCGAACCACGAAGCTCATGAGTCACTACTTCGAAAGAAAGCCTCCACCTCTGAGTGGGACTTCTGATCTCAACTAAAAGCAACTGAGGTCCGATGCCTACTCCTCACCATCTTTCCGCGTCGAGGGCATTCGCAAAGTGACCTGGTGCGCCCGGCGGGCTTTTGCGGACAACAACTGCCACTGGAGACAATCAATAGGAAGAACACCCGCAGAACACGTATTTGATATCATGAAACTATAAACTATTTGCTTGGGTATACAGTATATGTATATATCATATACGACCCTTATATACTGTTGTTTCTTTCTATCATATCATGTATGCAGGATTCATACATTTTAGTGTTACCAAATTTACCAAATGCTGAGACATGAGTTTTTCCCCAGATCGCGAGCTATTGGGGTTCTTACTTCAAGTATAGGAAGAGGTGCCTGTGTGCACTTTGGAGCTTGCATGCTGGTGCAGCTGCAGGGTGCCGCTGCCAGATGTTTTGGGCTTGGGTGCTGGTGCCGCTGGCTGCCCACCAACCTCAGTTTGCTACCTGCTGTCTATGCTGCGGGACTCAATGCAGCAATGGGGTCTCCAGGACTTGACACTTTGGGCACCCAGAACATCCCACTTGACTCAGATCCGTAGTTCTTTGAGCCAGGACGTTGGCCAAGACATGCTTATGAACACCCTTTCTTCCGTGACCTGATCCGACCATGTCAGGTTTGTGCCGACCTCAGTGGTGAAGGAAGCCTTTGAGCACAGGCCTTTCGGTTTGAGGCACGCAGGGCCTGTGGTGTATGGTCAGGGCCTGCAGTATGGGTGATGTGTGTGTGTGGTGGACATGGCAACAAAACCTATGGCTGTCTCACCATATAGTACATATATATATATATATATTACATGTAATGGTCCAAAAGGTATGCAGCTATAGACATATATATATATATATACACATGAGATTACATGAATTTTAACAATCATATTTTTTTCAGCCCAAAGCAGCGAAGCACATCAAACCCCAGCACGGCAGATGTGGCAGGACACCATGCCTTGCTAGTTTTGTTTGATGATTTTGGTTCTCATCGTCAGGTTTCAGAGATTCCCAAGGCTGCGAGGCAATTTTCAGACCTTTTCGGGATTTGAAGCGATGGTAAGGCCAACCAGCCAACAAACTAAGTGTGAGTGTAAGTACTTCTCAAAAACAAAGGCTTCCATCTCTGACCTAAACCTTGTACCGCGTCCATCCTTGCCCGGTACCTCTTCACTCCTTGCCGACTTCCATGCGCTTGCCGAAGAAGTGGTGTCGCTCACCTCGCAGGAAACCGCCGAAAGATGCTGAATGGCCAGGTGGTGCCCTCAGAGAATTTGGTGCCTTTCCGGCAAGTGACCCGAGGCAAATGTAACTGTTTGAGCACATCTTGGCTGTGGCTCTGCCAACTTTTGGGGGTGCTCCCAGCAACGACCTTAGGGCTGAAGGCGCTTTTCTTAACCCCCTGCTGTTTAATAATGAATTGATTGTCCGGAATTGCTCCGTTGCTCCACATGGGGCTGGAGGAGTCTAGATGCAGCATCAATCTTGCCATCAAGACACAGGAAGCAAGTCACAGTCTGATACTCATTTTGTTGTCTTCAACACCCACTGCAGAATGGCCGCTCGCAGGATTCCAGTTCGAGTGACCGGTAAAGTGCCGACTGCCTACTAATTCTATCTCTCTCTCTCTCTCTCTCTCTTCCTTCCTTCCTTCGTTCCTTCGTTCCCTCGTTCCCTCTTTCCTTCTTTCTGTTTGTCTTTCTGTTCTTTCTTTCTGTCTTCGTTCCTTGTTTTTCTTTTTCTCTTTGTGTCTGTCTCTCTCTCTCTCTCTGTTGCTTGCTCTCCCCCTCTCCCCTTCCTCACTTTTGCTTTTGGTTGTCCTACTCCAGTGTCAATTTGCACTCCATTCAAACATGTCAGATAGAACAGCCGTGTGTTGGGTGACCCAAGTCCCGAGTAGCGCACACAGGCCCTGGATTGGTGAGGAGCAAGTTCGGCAGAAAACAAGCAGAGGAGCAATCAAATCTTTCTCTCATGCACTCGTGCCTGCCCACTGACCTAGATCTTGCATCCTGCTTGTGCGAGGAGAAAGGTGGTGGTCGATGCATGTACTGTGGTGGTGGCTATAAACTCTCTCCGAGCCTTGCACACATGATGGCACGTTTTCCGCACGTTTTTGGACAACTTCTTTGCTTCAGAACGTGTAGTGTAGCAGAAAAGAAGAGAGAACCAGCTGTGATGCAATTTCTTTGGTCTCAGGAAATACTTCTGGCCACATGAACTTGGTGGTACGGACTGGGGAGGGATACGGTTTGGGAGAATGTGTGGAGGCTGCTTGGTAGCTGGTTGCTAAGTGTTGGCAAGCTGATAGCGTCACCTGTAAGGTAGATTGTAGACTAATTATATGCAGCTTTAAGCTCAGACTGCAGAGACTGTCCTTAAGCATTTATCGTTTTGAAAAGCGCGTTTAGACTGTCCTTCCAGATGACATGGGCTTTGGTAGAGGAGCTTCTCTCCAACGTTTGCTCACGCTGTGAATGCTGCAAAGATTTGGAAGAAGCCCTCGGGCCCCGAAGGCGGTGTGAGAGGGTCGATTGGGGTAGGGTAGTGCCTCTAGAATTGAATGAAGAGCTAACAGCTGCTTAAAGGTCAGCAGGTCTGCTCCTGTGGGATGTTGGATCAATTGATGACGGATAGGGAAAGTCGACAGGTCCTCAGGAAGCATGATCAAAGAGTCATCGACTGGCTTTGGGTTTCTACACCTGGGCACACCCTTTGTGACACCAGCTGTTTGGTGATGAGTTGCAGCTTAGTACCATTTGCACCTAGAACCTTTATCACAAGCAGGTTAATGGATCAGCGGATTGGTCAGACGGTTGGCCCAGGCGGTTTTTCGTTGGAAGCCATGAAGCAATTTCTTACCTTGGGGCAGTTACAGGACGTCTCCAAGAACCTGGTGAATTTCTGGAGCAAACCTGGGTGTGGGTTGCGGAGCAAGCCGATTCCCATTCCTTGGGGCACTTACTCAGATCCTTCTCCTTTTGGCAGCGCTCCATGGGATTCACGTCTGCCAGGTGGGGCGAAGTCTTAACGTCCTCGCCGGATGAAGCGGCAGAGGCAGTGATTTTCCGGCACCAGAGAGCACTGGAGCGGCCGTGGTTTGTTGGTGCAGAATGCGCATTCTGCATGGCCAGGTCTGGTGGGAAGCACAACGGAAGGCCAATATGCTGCGAACCGAGTCGGTTGCTAGATTGGAGTCAAAGAATGGCAGATAAAGAAACAGATCATGTTCACGCAGCTTCCCTTGCTCAGCTTTTCAACAACTGCAAGCAACCCAAGTTGTCCTCTCTTCAAAAGTGGCTTGCTAAGGGAAACGGTCAGCTTCCTGAGCAATCAGCAGCCCCCTCCATGACCTGCATGCGATTGAACCAAAAAGAAGCCGATTGAAGAGATCTGCCTGATCGGGGTGAAAAGTTGATGCCGAAACGGCTTTGATGCATCCCAAATCTCAAAACCTGAAATCAAAGGGACATGGCTTGTTTGCCTTTTTGTCAGCCTTCAATTGTTGGTGCAACACGGTAAATTGCTTGCTAATATTTCGAAACATGATTCTTTTCAGCATGCCGCAGCAAGGCGACCTACTGCCGAAAGAGTCTTTGTGCTCAGACTCAAGGTTTGGCTACTCGGTGGACTTGCCTTGCCAGCACAGCATTCACAACACTTGTGTTGCACCACATGTGTTTTCGTAAAGTATTCCCAACAAATCGACTGCAAAGTAGGGTTGTGCCAGCCATGGCCAATTTCATGGACGAGCTGGCACCAGGCTCTCGCCAGTTTCTGAGAGTTTTTTGCACCCATTGCTTTGATTTGACAGAGAACGAAATAGGAGCGTTTGACGTGTGTGTTTTTTTGATCCTCATAGCTTGATCCCAGACACTGTCCAGAAGGAAATCCACAAAAGGTGCGGACGGATGCCATAGGTCCGCCCGTGAGGGCGGCTGTGGTGTGGACCAGTGGTGCCTGCCTGGTCATCTCTCCCTTTCCCTTCCTAGACGGGCTGAGGCCACACTTGGCGGGATCTGTGCCAAAAGGAGAAGCCCATGGTCGGAACGGATGCGTTGCTCATGGGGACTTGGAGGCGGCTCATGTGCACTGGCGCAGCCACCGCGCGAATGCGACCGCGCCACAGATGTCACACATGGTCAGGCACTTTGTCGCATCGGGTACGGATAGGTTGGTAAATGTGATAGAATTGGCAACGGGTCAAGCCCAGGAACAAAGTGAACTACCATGCGTGTCAAGTTACAAGGGCTTTCGGGTGCACTTTTCATCGGAAGCCACTCCTACACTCCGCTTGGAATATCACGAAAGCCAGCCGGTAGGCAGGGCCTGAGGTTGTTGGAGCGACGAGTAAAGGGGGTGTGGGGGGTTGTGGCCCCGAGAAGGCCAATTTCGGAGAGGTGAACCCAGAGCCTGGTGGGGGACAGCGAAGAAAAGAGGGGGCCACTTGGTAATGAAAAAATGAGTGGTTTGATGGGTGTTGTGATGCCGGTGATGTAATTGACGGCGAAGAGTGCATCATCAGCATCACGAGGGGCTCAGGGGGCCATGGAAAGAGAATAGATTGTAGCTGCGGCTAAGCTTAGCGTTGCTGCCGCCCGGACTGAAGAGGGCACTCCCTATGTGGTGGGAGTTCACGTGGATTGGGGGCAGGAGAGAGAAGAGAGTGCATGATGCGTTGAGGGCCCGCGAGAGAGCCGAACTGAAGAGGGCACCCCCTATGTGGTGGGAGTTCACGTGGCTTGGGAGAGAAGAGATTGCAGCGGGCAAGCGTTGGAGGGGGAAGGTCCTGAATAGCTTAGGGGTGCCCTTTTTTACCCGTAGCAAGGTCTAGTTGCTGGACTGAAAAGGGCACCCCATATGACAGCCCCCAAAGCTGAGAAGCACTTCTCCCGTGGGTCGACAAAGCGTCCGGAAAATGGACACTCCACACTCGAGCAACACTGTGAATCGTGGACATAGACCATAGTCTTGAGTTTGTGCAGCCTCCTTGCTCTACCAATCACATGTGTAATCTTGTGCAGTTATTGAACTATTTTGTACATATGAGACTGCATATTGCATCCATACCACAGAGGTTGGCAGTTTGGCGCCATTTGAAGTGGCCAGCTCTTCCTGGAAACCATAGCACAGCCGTCAACTCATGGACCAACACACCATACCAAACCTTCCCCATACTATAAGGGCTCCTCCTTGTCCACTCATATATAGAATTATATGTATGTGTATATATATATATATGTCCGTTCCGAAAGCCTGCCGATAGCCTCGCCGACGACCGTCTCTGGTCACTCATTGCCAACACGCAGCCGACGAACTCACATAACAGTACATCTTTGAGGGTGCCCTTTTTCACCTCCACAACACTTCTGCACCCACGCGAAAAAGGGCACCCCCCTTTCAAATCTACCGTCTATTTCACCTCCTATCGCGCACTGTACCTGCGATGCCAACTTCACCCCATTCACGTACTCTTTACATAGTGTTAGCCTATCAGTTCATCTTGCACACTCACGTCGCTCCAATATCAACCTCACCACTTCCAGCTACTCTTTGTCCACTCTACCTACACACACACAGATATATATATATATATATCCTCACCTACCCTACCCATAGCCTCGCACATGAACCCCCACCGCCGTCTCTGCTCACTGATTCGCAACACGCCGCCGGCAAGCGCGCCTCACTTCCTGAGGGGTGCCCTTTTTCACCTCCAAATCCCCCCTGAACTGGGGCGAAAAGGGGCACCCCCCCTTCTACACCCTGTCATTGTGGCTGCGATGTCAACTTCACCCCATGAAATTAATCTTTGCCCGATGTTACCCCATCACTTCCTCTTGCACGCCAAGTCTTTGCCCGGGCCTACCCCGAGGGCACCCCTTAAGCCAGAGGCTGGCTTTCGTCCCCTCCAGTCTCAGGTTTTGGAATATATACAGGCGGGTGTGGTAGGTTTGGCATGTAACATCAAACAGAATGGTCTTCTAAATGTGGTAGGGCTATCAATAATCCTGGCTTATGTAACTCAATTGGTATAAGAATATCAAGGAATAGGGTTATGTCTAGGGTAACTCGGGCTCTGAAGATCCGAGTCTCAGTTGAGCAATGTGCACAAACGTCCTTTCTAGTAGCCAAGTGTATCGCCATTGGTAGCAAGTGCATCGCTACTAGTAACAAAAATGATCCTATATTATACTACAGTAGTTATTTTGCTACTAGTAGTAATTAATGCACTTGTTACTAGTAGCGATGCACTTGTTACTAGTAACAAGAGGCTAGTACACTCAAGTCGCCACACCTTTTTGCCGCCAGGGAGGCCATCATTGCAGCTGTGGCCTGTGAGAAGGTACCACCTTCGCGACCGCCACGACCTTCAATTCAAGGGGTTGTGAGTTGGCAGTGCATCTGGTGCACACTGGAACTTTCAGGCGATCTAAAGCTTCCAAGACCCCCTGATTTGCAACGACACATTTTCGGAGCCGACTCGCCATGATAGGACTTCAACCCATTCATATCCAGGTCATCAAACAGGATGGCTACTAATTTGGCATTGTCTCAGATGCAGGGTTTGGCAAGGATTCTCACCAATTTCACAAACCTGTATATAGGAATCAACTACCCAAGCACAACAGTGGTTCCCAAGTCATAGTGAGCAGTTCCTGAATGCCGACAATCCATCTGGTCAACTTGATCAAAACTAAGTTGCAGTTCACCCAAGGCCGAAATCAACATCCTCGAGCCGTCCGCCGTCCTCGAGCCGTCGTGCCCTCGTGCCGTTTCACCGTTTCAGCTCGCCAGACGGGACGAGCTGGACGCTATGCTGATGGACCGGCAGGGCAGGTCTTGGATTTCTTGATGGAGCAGGGTTTCTCAGATCGGAGGCTTTTTTGGGGTCGAAAGGTGTAGACTGTGTGTTTCAGAGAGATTTCTTGGTGTAGCAGTGCAGCTCTCTGTATGTAGATTGTTGCAAATTGTTCAAAGGTCTCGTGCCGATGAGTCTGTGGCCATCCTGACCTAGGCTGCTTTGCAGGTTGTCTGAAACATCCCACCATGGCTCCTCCAGTGGATATGAATAAATTTTGCCAGCTATCTCCACAAACCATGTTCCTCTTCTTGATGGAAAGGAAGACCTTCCCGGCTGTTCTCATCTGAGGCGAGGCTACAGCAAGTTCACAGCTGCGGCTGAGAAAACAGAGGAAGCTGCTCACAGTGGGCGCATCCGGCCGGCAGGTTGGGACCAGAAGTTGGGACCATCAATGTTTCCTCAGTTTCCTCTTTATCTATTATTTTGGTTTGAGTTTTTCTGAATGTTTTGGAGCTTTCGGTCCTTATTTTTCAATCTTAGAATGGAAGGCGGTGGCAGTGGTGGTGGCAGTGGCGGCAGTGGCGGCGGCGGCAGGCATGTGGGTGCCCGCTGTACACTTCACATGGGACCGTTAAACCGTGCTGCAATGAATAAAGCAATGAAGTACTGGTAGCAACTGTTCATTCGATAGGTTCCGGTGAAATTCTCAAAGCTTATTGCGTGAAGATAGCAAGTTAACGACGATAAAGATTCAACACTACCAGGTCATTGTCATGGGGCTGTGAAGCAAACCCAGGGGGTGGGGCCATTGCTCACAATGGTGGCTTGTAAGGAGTGTATGGGCACGACAACTACAAGTTGTAACAGAAGAATCATGAATAGACAGAGTCCCTCGACAGAGTCCCTCAACGGAAATGGTCCCTCGTTTGGGTAGCGGTCCCACCAAGACTATCAATACATTACAGTACATTGATTGTCTTCCTTTCTGGTCAACTTCGTCCTGAACACAGATTCAATAGCTTAGGGCCTTCGGGTGTTGTCTCAGATTGTAGTGTGCCTTTGAGAGGCCCATGTGTCAGACCCTCAGCCTGATCCAAGATCCAATGAGTCATTGCTTCTCCATTGGACAGGCGCTGTGAGCATTGCCCCTTTGAGGATCGTTGTAAAAAGAATAGATCGGTTACGATGAGGATTGATACAACTCACACCGTCTGTGACATTGATCATCACAAACATATATATTTTCAAGTAGCAGCAGTAGCGGCAGTAGCAGCAGTAGCAGCTGCAACGGCAGCAACAGCTTTGCCCCCTTGGTCATGCCCAAGGTCCACATGGTCCCAGTTGCTATCGAAAGAATCCGGAGCACTTCAAGGTCTAGAGGGCCTGGTTGAAGTGTGCAAAGGGTTTGTGGGGCAGCGTGTGCTGCAGCGCATGGGAAGAGCAGAAGAGCACACACGTGATCGACTCAACAGCTGCACAAGAATGATCAATAATGTTTAGAGTATGCTTTCAGGCTTGGACGGAACAAGGCACGTTTGTTGACTTATCACAAGTTTGCTGCAGCTGGATTCAACCATGCGCCAGGAGTACTCCCACCCGTGGCATGAGGGCAAGGAGCGGAATGGGCGCAGGTAGTCATCCTTTGACAGTGATTTTAGTCATTGAAGACCAGCTGGACATTTGGCCAGAAGATGTAGATCAGACCACATTCTTCACTCTCCTTCACATGGAGAGGAGGACAAGTGGGAGTGCCTGGATCTCAGCATGAACACAGTCATGAGTTCGCAGGCTCACATGAGGCCACCAATATTTGGCATGCTTCTGGGCGACTCACGAGTCCTCTGGGGGGTGCAAGCTTTGGCAGCTAGATAGGTAGAGTTCTTCAAAACTTGTCAAACCACAGCGGCACCTTTCCCAGAGGAGTTGTGGTCTTGCATCTATGAAGGCTAGAGGTACTGTATGTACGCTTTGACCAACAGTGAGTGGCACGGCCGACGCATTAGTCAGGCCCACGCTGCACGTACCACAACAAACCTTCGCACCCGCAATGTGCACCTTGGCCCAAATGCCGAATGTCACTTGAGGCACTTGTGTTCATACACATGTTAAATATGTATAGAGAGAGAGAGAGAAGCGCACAGAGTTTTTGAGGGAGAGCTTGAAATCAGGGCTCTTTTCAAGGTCCGAGCCGGAGTTAACTCTAGAACTGTAGAGCTTGTTTGGAAGTGGCGAGTGGATGATTTTATGGCGAAGCTGAGCATGGACACGTGGTTCCACTTAGCGACAACCGAACTCCTTCAGTCTCCTCCAGACTGTCCCCGAACTGGAGTCGGCAAATTGAGTCCGACCGGGCCAGACACAGAAAAGCGCGCTTTTCAGAAGTTTGGAGCGGTGTGGTGATGGGGAATAAGGCTCAATAAGGTGCAGCTCGCAGTGTTGTGTCTTGTGTTCTTTTGGGTCACTCAATTGGTCTTGGGGAGACTTTGCCCGCCCGAAAGGGACCGAAAGCGGTATTCCAAACAAGGAGAGTTGATGTCTCCTTTCCTCCTTTTCCGTCCGCTTTGCCGAGGAAATGTGTGGAGGTGGGAGGCCTGGCGGTTCTCCATCGGGTGGGTCTTCAACGCTTCAGATCAGGCACCGTTTTTGGTGTATTTCAGGGAGGTGGAGAGTTGGGAGACTGGGGAGAGTTGAGATGGAAAATAGAGACAGCCATGATATTTCAAAAAAGACACATGTGGGGCAAACATTCCGAAGCAAGGTGTGGCCGCCACGGCTGTAACCACGTTGTCACTGTGGCAGTGCCTCCAGGACCGATTCCGGGGTTTGGGGGACGTGCGTTGGCTGCGGAGCCCCTAGTAGTAAGGCCAGGAGCTACGTTCGTAGCGCCTTTGCAGTGATGCCCTTTGTTCCTAGTTGGAAGTCATGTTGCCACATGTTGCAACCACCTGTAACACCAAAAAGCATGACGGTCCACCATTCATTTCAGAGTGAGCAACAGACCAAAATCGTTCGCGTCAGCCCAGTAGGCCCTACCGAAAGTTCAAATCATGCAAAACTCGGGCCATGCCCAAGTCGGATGCTCAGGCACTGCAGCAGGGGCCAGGGTGCAAGCCAAATGCCCGCAATGCGGATGCACCAACGAGGCCGGCCGAAGATGTGGCACAAACAACCGAAATGGACCGGGTCCAGTTTGACAAATTAGATGTTTGCAGCCACCAAGTTGTTGCAATGGCCCACCCTTCCCCTGTCATCTAAGAATTCCTTTCCCAAGCCTTTATACCAAAACATGGAACAACTGGAACAAATTCCAAACAAATGCCAATGATTCGGTGATCCCCAATCAAGACGCATTGGAGTTCAGGTGCAACTCAGTGTGGCCCAAGCATAGACTTCTGGAGTGAACCCAGTGTGGGCGAATCTCCCGGTCGCGGTTCAATCCGACCAAGAGTGCGCAGAGTTTTCGCAAGATGACCATGGAATTACGGCGTTCAATGACCTGCAACGACTCATCGTTGGAAAATAAAATGGTCATTGAGCAGGAGGAGCTTCGGGCACCCACAGCGGCAGAGATGGGTTTTGACAAAGAGCCCTTTCGATTGGGTTCACTGGCCATAGTGGTACTTGGAGCAACGGGGGATCTTGCCAAAAAGGAGACCTTCCCTGCGCTGTTGGATTTACTGGCTCATGAATATCTACCACCTCAGGTGGTCATTTTTGGTGTGGGGCGCACCAAGCAAGACACCGGGACTTTTCGCGAGTGGCTTCAGCCGTGGCTCGTCAAGTCCTTTGCTGGACAAATGAAACGTTGCAAGGAAGCAATGCCAAACTTTTTGAAGAGGCTCACATACTTTTCTGCAAACTATGATAGCCAAGAAGACTTTGCTCGCCTGGCCTTGACTTTGGAGGCTGAAGAGACCCAAATGTTCCTAGAGGCCAGTGGCAAGGCAGAGGTACCATCGGAAGCAAACCGAGTGTTTTACTTTGCCATTCCACCTTTCGCCTTTTTGGCAGCAGCATCTTCCATCAAGGCCACCTGCTTGTCTAGCTCAGGGTTCAATCGCCTGATCATTGAGAAGCCCTTCGGACATGATTTGAGCTCAGCGAAGTCCTTGGCCAAAGACCTTGGGGCTTTGTATGAAGAGAAGCACCTGCTGCGGATGGACCACTTCCTGGGTTGCTTGGCTAGCTAGTTTCTTAGAGATGCCATTTCTTCTCGAGACAGTTTTTAGCACCACCAACTTAGGGAACAACTATTCTCATTTGGAAGATCTCCGAGGGATTCTGTCTTCGTGATGTGGTGCCACTGGTGCCAACTCAGGCTATGAGATCTGCCAGAACATTCTTTCCGTTCGCTTTGGCAATGCCTTCCTGGAGCCACTTATGAACAATCAACATGTGGCAGCAGTACGCATCACCCTCAAAGAGGACTTCGGAACGGAAGGACGAGGCTGGATGTTTTCCTCAAAAGAACAGCAGAGTTTTGTTGGGGTGAGATGAGATTGGGCGACTTCCCGTCGGTGTGACCGTCCCAAAAGAGTCAGGGGATTTCTGCTCAGGCTATCGTTGCCCGGTCGTTCGGCTCAATTGGCATGTCCGGAGGTTCCTGTCGGTCCCCTATTCAGGTGGCTATTTCACCCATTATGGCATCATCAGAGATGTGATTCAAAACCACTTGCTGCAAATGCTTACCTTGGTGGCCATGGAAAAGCCTTGCAATGTGGGAGGAGACGTTCGTGATGCAAAGGTGGCTGTGTTGAAGGCTATGATGGACATTGACCCAGAGGACCCCGCAGGGCTCGGTCGCAGCACCATAACACAACAACTTACTGTAAGCTAGATTAGTCTATATATATATATATAGAGTCTATAATATTTGCATTTGGATTTACAAATTAGAAGTCAGAAGCTCACTGGTCGTGGGGAATATTGCATCATTTAGACCGTATGAGTTCAAACCCACAGACCGCCTTACCTTGAAGGAAGTGGTTCTTGGTCAATTCACCTCAGGGAACGGCAAGCCTGGTTATCTTGAAGATGACTCCATAGCAGAGAAAGACCGTGAGAAGGCCAAGCACTGTGCCACCTTTGCCCAACTGGTCATCCGAATTGACAATGATCGCTGGTGGGGTGTCCCGTTCATTGTTCGAGCGGGAAAGGGCTTGGAAGAGAGCAAGTGTGAGGTGAGAATTCAGTTCAAGGAACGCCATAGAGATCCAAGACTCTTCCCGGAAGCTTGTCCTCCAAGGAATGAATTGGTGATGCGAGTCTCTCCTCATGAAGCAATCTATTTGAAGTTCAACATGAAAACACCCGGTCTTTCTACCTCAGTAACTACCACCGAGTTGGATCTATCCTACAACCACCGCTACGAAGAGGTCTACCGGCCTTTGGCATACACGCGCTTGATCTTGGCAGGTGTGCGGGGTGAGCATGAAAGCTTCGTCAGAGACGACGAACTCATTCGGGCATGGGAGCTTTTCTCGCCCTTGCTCGAAAAGATCGAGGACGGCAAGAAGGAGGTTTTGAAATATCCATTCGGCAGTCGTGGCCCCGCGGAGGCCGATGAGGTGCTGTCCAAGTTCAACTTTATTTGGAACAAGACTTATGCCTGGAAGGCTCGATAACTGTAAGATAGCTGCCGCTACTGATCACAAGTGTCAGGTGGACTGTATTGGTCCACAAAAGCGGCTCAGATGCTTTGAAACAATGGCCGGTTTTGAAATCCATGTCAGGCTTCTAGTTCGTCAGCTTCCTGCAGATTTGAATCGTTTTTTCTCATCACTGGTCCGTTTCTTCACATCTTAATTAATTGCAACTTGCCGTCCTTTCCAGGCGCCAATGCCCTTCTCTGCCTCTGGTATGGATCCAAGTCCCTCGCCAGCTCCACACATGGGGGGAGCTGCTCCTCGCCCATCAGGCCGGAAAAGAGGGGCAAACTTGATCACGTCTGTCTGGAGAACATGATCGAATGTACTTCTTTTTCTAAAGCAATTTTATCACGTCCTTCCTTCATTTTTTGGAGGCACCTACTGTATCAAGTAAGGGACAGACTTGTTCGCTCCTAGCACTAGATCTACTAGGATGCTAATACATATGGACGCAGGATAGCTCACGCTTCAAGGAAGCTCCCCCGCCTGAGGCCGGGTAGAGCTTCCTTGATGAAGCGCTCACACTAATGATTTGGTTACTAGATGTTTGCACTGGACCGCTTGTGGAGTTCATTATTCATTTCAGTAGCCCTTCATGCGGCCTGTGCTGATGAACAGGCCGGCCTGTTCGTTGCATCCCTGGTCGGTCCCACGCCAGGTCGCCGGAAGGCGCTTTTGATTGGTGTGAACTACTTTGGCACCCGTGCAGAACTGTGGCTGACTCAGGTGGTCTTTCAGGGGATCCAGAAAAACTATGTGACTATCTCCAGAAGCCATGCAGTGTACCTGACAACCTACCGTTTTAGAGCATCGGAGTCTTTGGACCACCCTGAACGACGTTCTATGGGGCTCATTTTTGAGATATCTTAATAGCTTCTTGTTACTACTAGCGATGCACTTGTTACTACTAGCTTCTTGTTACTACTAGTAAGGCACCTGCTACTACTAGCGTGGCACTTGTTACTAGGCAGGTCAGGTCTGAGACTTCGGAACATCTTACGAAGCTTTTGGCTCCTTTCGGTCGAGGCGTGGATGCATTAACGACGTTCACAACCTTTACAGATTGCTGACAGAGACGTATGGATGGCCCGCTTGAATCTCAGCAACGCCAAAGTCATGGCTGTGATAATTACTGCTACTCACCCAAGCAAGGCCTTTGTATTTTCTGCACCATTTGATCGTTTTGATGCGACTCCGACCACTGATGATCTTGCAAGCGGAGCTTTGCACTTCTTGCGAACTACCTAGGGCCATTGCATCAAGACACTGACTGACGATGGTCGAGGAAATGGTGGCATGCCTACGTGGAATTCTTAGTCGCCACTGGGAGAGAAGTCATCGCTGCCGGGGCAGCGTTTTCTTAGTTGGAACTGGGGACGGGGACTTGGGGAAAACTGATTTTTTTCAAGCAACAGAAACCTTGCGCAGTGAGGCGCCAAAACATTGGCCAGCACATGAGCTGGTTGTCTGATGGTGCTCAGCCAGGAGTCTCACCAGGGGTCGCTGAAGCCTGTGTTATACTATGTATATAGGCCTAATACCACTGTTCTGGCAGAACGATGCCTCTTTTTTGAGCATCGTGGCAACTGAAGGGAATGAGCTGCAAGCTGCACAGAACACCTACCAACCTCCCACTTCTGCGAAGGTTCCGCAAACCTGCAGATCTCACTGCACATCTCGCTGCACATCTCGGTGAGGAGATGTTCTCTTCTTCAGCTTCTCTGGCCATGGTGCCGGGGAGCTCAGCTCCGTGAACTGGGGTGAACTGGGGTCCCGGGAGCTCGATGATCAATAAATGTCACGCACAGATGTTGCTGAATGTTTGTTCGTAGCCTTAGAGGTTGGCAACTTGATGCAAGTTGCTCAGATGCAGAGTTCGTGATAGTTGATATGACAACTTGTTCTGTGTTTTTTTTTGCGTGAATAAGGAGTTTTCGTTGGCCCCCAAAAAAGGATTGTCATCTCTGATTCGGTCTGGTCTGGTCTTTGACCAGCATCGTTGCTGCTCGGATCCTGTCGGCCATCCAGCACCAACTCGGATCCAGCTAAGTACATAGTTCATTGTGATTTATGAATCCTCACAAGTAGGCACAAAACACAAGGCCGCTCACAGCTCTTCAGCCCCAAGGCGCAGAAAGAAGATCCTCATGGCTACGAGGAGGACGAACTTCACACCTGAACATGGGATGACAGCGGAACTTAGACCTCATCATACCTCATCAACTCAGACCTTGCGCAGTCTTAGGCTCGGTAGGTAGGTGCTTGCCTTCTTCGATGAGCAGTACCCTCGTACGGAAAAGCAGAGCTTCTGATCTGAACTCGACATTAGAATTTAAACACAGCATTGCACCTGAAGCCAGGATGGCATGAATGAGACGATTCTCCCGGTGGACTTTGAAAGAGCGCCATGTCTGTCCATGCAGTTTCCTCCCAAATGTTTACGTTTTTCTGTAGCGACTTTGCAACAATTTAAGGCTGGGATGATGAGCCTTGGCCTGCAGATAGCTTCACTGTTGAGGATTGTAGCAGATTCTATGAACTGTGGTGCTCCTGGCTCACTCAGTTGCACTGTAAAACAGAGTCCAAGTTTGATATAGAGTTGGCATGATTCTTTTTGTGCACACATGGGAAGCATATCTTTGCGAGCCTCTGCCTGAGGACCGATGATGAAATTAGCGACATCATAGTGAAGCGGTTGCCAGAAGGGGTGAGGCAGGTTTCCAGCAGAAGGTTCAATCCCGCTTGCACCGTGTGACATTCTTTGCTTATGGGCTTATAGGAGTCCTTTTTCAGGAACCTTGTACGTTCTTTTGGTGACATGCCCAAGCTTGCACACCAGTCTTGCATGAGCTTTCTAAAGTAGCCTTCCACCATGGTCATTCTTGAATCGACAGGCTTACTGGAGTCATGGACTGCTGTGATGACCTGAGGATCGACCCACACACGGGCGCTCAGCGCCGCGCGATTCGACCGAGGTCACAGCGGCACTGGCCTGGATCTTCCCTTCACGTGGGATATGAGACGAGGCATGTGGCGAGAAGAAGTCAATCCGCCTCCTGGAGAAGATGGAGAAGACATATAAAAAGTTTTTTCTGTTAAAGCTTACTTTTGGCACATGTTTCACATTCTGTGTTCGGTTTTGACCCTGGAGGTGCACAGGTGATCGCACAGGTGATCGGTGATTGCCATTTATTTGTACTGGTTTTGATTTGATCATCTCGACCAACTACAGGATGTTTGAACTAGACCCCAGAATAGCATGATAGTTTTTGCTCCGATCTTGTGTAGAAGAATATGTGTATATATATAATTACACAAACATGTCAACCCGTGTCTTCTGAGCGGTGAAGCTGGCACCTCGCCAAACAAACCTCGCCCGAGGTTTCACTCCATGGGCGATGTTTTGATGTTCAGTCACCCGGCAGGAAAAGGGCGGGACGGAAGTCCGGCTTCTGGTGTTGGAAGTCGGGTTTTGAGAAAAACATTTGCTTTGCATGATAAAGAGCTTGGGCCCTGAAAGGAATAGATCGAAATAAATGGATCGAAGAAGTCTGCGTGGTGTCACGTGATTCGGCCATCCATTCTTCTTGCTGAGGTGGTTGTGAAGATGATGACACATCCTCAGATGCCGCCGGCATGTATGCCGCACCTGGCGGGGCTATGACGTGACCTGGCAGGAATCCCCAACTAGAACAGGTTCTGCAATGCAAGGCCTCGGCGTCGGCGTGCGACACTGGGTCCAACAGGTCGCACAACTGTTTATACACGCCCGGCCGTCCAAGGACTGCATTTTGTGATGTGCTCCGAAGAAACCCACGCCCGCATCTGCCTGAGTCATTTTGACATGGAGTTGGAGGAAGTCCTTCAGCATTCTAAGGATTTATCCTCAGCTTCTGCAGCTGCTGCATCAACATCTAAACAGGGGAGGCCTGCCAACATGTCGGCATCCTGCCCAAATGTGGTTCTGTTAGTTCTAGGCACTAATAGGCAAGTGTCAAAGGACCCTTCTTTGTGTGTTCAGCTTTCCTTGCTGACAGGCTTCTCCCAGCGGCCGGTTCTGAGCTCCACACAACAGTGGCTGGTCTGAAGGTCATGGAAGTTATATAGTAGATGTTAGGAGGTAAGCAACAGACACAGATAAATCTAAACAGACATTGATGGAAGTGTGGCTGCTTTGACAGAGCCCAACAGACACTGATACTCGATCATACTCGTAGAACCTTCGAGGGCCAAGATTGATGAGAGTCGTGTTTTTTAAAGCACATGTGCAGAGGCAGTCTGCAGCACAAGTAAAGCACCACAGATACACAGTGATAACCAGCCAGTCAGCTAGTCAAGTTGCTCAGAAGACAGCGCAACCTGGGCAACAATGCTCCTTTGAGAAATCAACTTGTCAAGACTCAGGATGCTGTTCAAACTCGACAGTTTTTTTTCGCAAAAGCGTCCTTCTTCACATACCCCTTCCTGAACATTAACATACATTACCGAGACATACCCCAGAAATCATCACCGTGCACATGCCGTTGGTCCCAGGTTTTCGCTCGACCGGCCCTTCGCCTTCGACGACATCCATCCGACACTTGGGAGACGATGGTCTGACCGGTGGGAAGCGATGGACCATCTCTGACGTTAAGACGTTTTTTTTGAGGATGAAAAAGAGGTACACCGTCCGGTATACCCACAAAATCCCACAAAGATATACCTCAATAAATCCTCAACAAATCTCATGCCTTGGATTTGCAAGAGTAGCAGCCATGCAGCATGCACATGCTGAATTGCCTGACTCCATTCATCCCAGCTTCCCACATAGCCTTGATTAGAGAAGGCACGATGCGGTGATGTTGTTTTGAACCACGAAGCACCACAGAACACTAGCGCACATTGCATGTGAGGGCTCTTCTTTTTTGATCCCTGCCGTATTCATGCCTTTGTTGCTTGATTCCCACCATCACAAAGACGAGCTTTAAATATCGTTTGATAAGCATGGACATGTTCTGGTTTGACCCTCTGTCTAGCATTGGTACTTAAGTTGTATATTCTTCGATCTATTCTCAATTGTGAATTCTTGAATCGCATTATATAAGTTCTTCGAACGGGATGAAAGAGTTGCCTTTCTCTCCAGGTATTTCTTTCTCAGCTACACCTGTTGACCTGTTGATATCTGTCCAAAGAACATCGAGAGAACACCTTCGGAACATCGAAGAGCGCTGTGGCTTCATCCTTCGGCAGGAAGGTTCGTCCTGCGGTGTCTTTGGTCATCTCGCTTGTTTTGTGTCGGTGCTAAAACAGGGACAGGTACTCATGGAGAAAGGTGGGGAGATGGAATACCTTTGACCGCGTAAAAGAAAGGAGCCCTCCATGCAAGCAGTTAGATTTGCATAAACATAAACCAGTGTACAGTACCATCCATCAGACTCAGTGAACGCTGCGAGAAGGATGATGACGCCATTGTTGAGATTGAATTTATGCAAAGGCCACTGTGAATGCTTTATTCGGACCAGCAACTCTCTCCTCAGGATTGAACCGCGTTAGAAATGAGGCCTTTGAGTATTGCAACTCGTTGATCAGCATTGGAGACTGTACTTTTGGCCATAGCTCCGTCGGTGACGGCGCCGAGATTGCAGCTCTGGCAAGAGCTCTGATCCCCAAATCTGCAGCGAAGTTGGGATGCTTTGCATTGCAGGAAGCCAAATGGCTGAGGTGACAATCGTGACTGTGCAAAGGCGTGACAGACATGTGCCCTTTTGTGCAGCTCCTTGTACTTGGGAAGAGATGACCTGTGCCCTCACTGTGCATGTAGGGAGATTGCTACTCCAAGTCCAATACTGCACCCAGAAAACCCTTGTGCATCAAGTGGATCAGTGCTGAGGAACATGAACCCTCAACTGGGTCGGATCTTCAGACAGAAATTCCCACCCAGGCCTGGGGTTGTAGGCAATGTAAGGAAACGGCCAATCGACTGGAAAATACTTTGAGCATCTTGAGCTTTCTATGATTTCTATGCACATAACATAATTGAACATCATTGAGTTTGATACAAATGGCGCTGCAATTGTTGAAACTTGCTGATCATTCGAAATTTTGGCTTTGAGTTGCTGTTTGATGACGTTTGAAGAAGATTCAGGCTTTCAAAGTTGACTGTGAGTCCAAGCAATCCCATGATGGGTGAACACAAGTGAACACCTTTACTTTTTGTTGCCAAGCTGGGGTACAGGCCTTTTGACCCAAATCCATTCAGATTGGGACCGCTTGATGACTTTTTTGATAGCAGGCCAAGACCAATGAGTGGTCCACTCGCAGACATGCTGGGTCCCTTGGGAATGCTCGCAGGCAGGACTGCTATACTACCTCAATATTTTACATCGTTGGTGTGCTTGCTGAATTGAGATGAGTTGACATGAACTGACAACAGACACTGACGGAAGAAGAAGAAGAAGAAGAAGCTATGGCGGGCAATATCGTTCTAATGGAACACAAGCGCTCAGCAAGAAGACGGCGGTTCTGGCAGGTGGCCTTGTGGTTGGCGCATTGGTCCGGGCACCTAGCATCGAACACTTCACAATGCTTTTGGACGGGAGGGCAAGCTTTGTTTTGTGCTGAGGCCGGAGAGGTATTGGAAGGTGGGTTTGGTTTGCTTGGAGCCTTATTCTGAATGGTTATTCGGATACCATGTACAGATCCGATTCCGCAATGGTTGTTCTTTTCGTTGGATTGACACTAATATCAATTTTCATTGCACAAACTGATAATCTATATAAACCAATATACGTATATATTTATATATATATATATACACATGAAATATTGATTAAGAAAGTAACCATTACTATAATCCTAATATGCACCACTGTAAACGGCTACTTGATGTGACCATAATGTGAATCCGTTGCACCGATCTATCCCCACCAGAAACGACATCATGATCCAGAAAAAAATGTGTAATTTGAAAAAATACGTGAATGCTGAAAGTGTAAAGTTCCATCCATGTTCCAACCGTGTACCATCCTTGGATTTTGGATTTTGAACTTACAAAACCACAGAGGCAGACCTTTTGGCTTTGGCAGGGCAATTTGCGGTGCCATGGAGCGTGAATATCTCCTTGGTGCAGACTGCAAGCCCTGAAGCCACATCCCCTATTCCGCCTATTCCCAGATTCGCTGCGCGAAGAGGCGCGTGGCAGGGACCAACCTGTGAAGCAGAAGACGGGGAGCAGTAATTGGGCAGGAGGGGCCAGGTGAGCAGGTACTGTATATATCTCATTCAATTCATATCCATTATCGATTGCATTCACACCAATTCATCTCATACCAACTCATTTTATACTCATGTCCTCATCAGATATGAATATTCGTTCAGGTTCACGCCAAGAGCTGCATTACAACCCCTACGTCCTCCTCCTACACGCTTATTTATGTCCATGGTTGGGCATCGGTCGCCCGCTTGAGCGTCATCCATTTTCGGGACTAGGCCATTCGGCGGATGAAACGGATTCGACTTCCATGACTCCCGTCCTGCTCTCAAAATAATTAACACCCTTACAGCGGTACCTGATGAACGTGCAATTAAATGCCTTAATCCATCATTAATATCATTCCCCACCGTCAATTGTTATTTTATGATTTTTTTAAATTACAATTTATTGCAGATAATTAATAAATTATTTATTAAAATTATATCTAAAATTGAAAAAAAAAACAATAATCGAATATAAATTATATTCGATTTTTCTAATTATATTTTTTATATTATATATTTATTTTTTAAATTAATTTAAGGGAAATTCGGAAATTATAAAATATTGAATGATTCGATTATATATTGATTAATATTATTATAAATTTTATTAAAATTCTATTTTTTTAAAATATATTATAGGATTTTCGCAATATTACCTTGATACAAGGTAATTGGGTTTATCGTAGGCTTCGAGGGCGAAATTTTTATGGGAATAATATTTATTTGAATATTTTATTGCGGCTTTTATAGATTAATATCTTCTTTCTTGATGGAAAAGATGCCGTCGGATATAATGGATAGAAAACCATTTTCAAAGCGTTGGTATTGAATTTATTTGCTTTATTATTTGTAAATTGATAGCAATTCTAAAATAATTTTTGTAGGTATATTTAGTCGTAGAATTGTATATTTAATCGACCCTATACTAAACGAACATTTTTATCTTTATCGCTATTATTAAAATAATCTTACCGACGTTTTCCCCTGAAATAACGATTTAAATAATAATAAATTTTCTCCTATTTAAAGCAATTGTTTTTTGAGGTCCTTTCTATGTTTTTTTTTGTCCGTTATAAGTGTAAAACATGGCAATTGATTATAATTAAAGAAAGGTTAGGGAGAATAGAATATTTCCGTTATTATGGTTTCTAAGTCCCTGATTAAATTCGCGGAGGTCTTGGTAGGGGGAATCATAAAATCGGCCAAAAGATTCATTTCATTTTGATTCGTAGCAGCCAATTGAGTAGCTTCCGTTGCCGCCACAGGTCAAAATTAATTGATCCGTGGTTGGTAAAAAGGTCTTTTTAAATTTGAATTAATTGAATTTGAAGTATTGGTTAAAAGAGGTAATTATTTTGGTTTAATGATTTATGAAGGCGATTTTTCTAACATAGATGATTATTTTTTGATATCTAAGCATTATTTTGCTAATGATCGGCATTTGGAATCGGTTTTAAATATATGGTTATATCAACGATGCGATATTGAATCTAATATATTCTTAGTCTATGGGGAGTAGCGAACATAGACAAAAGGACCTTAATTTTGGGAAAATGAATTCGGATCTCATTTTTGTGATGCAAATTTGGAAATCATTTAATTTGAAGATAGACCGTTGGATGCACACTTATGAATCCATCGGTGTATGGTAATTGCTTGTGCCAACGGGGAATCAACTTTTGAAGATTGCAGCCCTTTTGGTTAGGGTATCGAAGCAATATCGGTGCAAACAATGCGCCTTGATCAATTCGACTATGTAGCATTCTACTTTACCATCCCTATTGGATGTAACCGCATTAAGAAGCATTCGATAATTGATTTCGCAATCATCCTCCATATTCAATTTACCAT